CGTAGCGAACGCCGCAGAGGAGAGAGAGACGAATCCAGTGTCAGACTGCATTGCGCAAGGTCATTCAAGATCACAGACGGAAAGTACAAAAACTCAGGCTGTTATTATTATTTCTTCTCGAATTGAAATTTATAATTAAGTTTAAAATATTTTACAGTAGATTCTCGTAGTGATACTGAGAAGAATATTTGGACCGAAGAGAGATGACGTGACAGGAGGTTGGATAAAACTGCATAATGAGGAGCTTCATAACTTGTACTCTTCTCCAAGTGTAATTAGAATGATCAAGTCAAGGAGGATGAGGTGGGCAGGGCATGTAGCACGAATGGGGGAGAAGAGGAATGCATATAGAATATTGGTGGGAAAGCCAGAAGGAAAGAGACCACTGGAAAGACCAAGGCATAGGGGGGTGGACAATATTAAAATGGATCTTAGATGGGATGGGATGGATTGGATTGATTTAGCTAAGGATAGGGACCAGTGGAGGGTTCTCGTGAACACGATAATGAATTTTCTGGTTCCACAAAATGCTGGGAAATTCTTGTGTTGCTGCACAATTTACGGTTTCTCAAGAAGAGCTCAGCTCCATGAGAGTCTCGAAGTGATAGACCTCAGCAGCAAAACAGTGTTGTAGTCGTTTAGTGATGCATTCACTTACATAAGAGAGATATTTTTGGTGGCAAAAGTTATTACTCAACTCTGTAAATTGCAAAGACCGTAGGTTTGGATTCTTTGGGATAAAGAAAGACAGAAATTCTTAACAATACATAGGAAGAAATGCACATGAGAGTTCATGATGAGGAAGAATTGTGTTCAATTCCTGCCACGCCGAAAACATTGCACTTCAGTTACAAAAGCCACCCGAATATTTGCTGATAGATTCATAACCTCTGTGGATGGTAAGGGTGAACATGGAGCAATGGTAGAATGGTGATTAGCAGGAGAAAACCGAATATTCTCGGAGGCTAACCTGCTCCAATGCAACTCCCCCTCCCCCATGAATCTTCAAGTCACCCAGAATTGAACCCGGATCTCCGCTGCAAGAAATAAAGATCCAAACATCTACAACATGGCATAATATCCTACTCTAGTGAATGTACTGTACAAACAAATGCTACAGTAATTCCGGGGAAAGAGGGAAATTGGTTGAAGTGCTTGCGCCGCTCTTGCAGTTACCCGGGGAACCTGTAGCTTTAGGACGTCAATATCACCTGCCGGTGCAGCAGGGAGTCGTATCCGGACAAACCGGAAGTCTGGCGTTCTCAGAAGCGAACAGTTCAGTTGAACCCAAAATTCTGGTTTTAAACATTTTATGTGACTTTAAAGCCACTTGGTGACAGACAGCCAATGAAACCGAGGAGTCGAAGTCCCAACCAACTGCTTGGGTTTAAAGTAACGCGGTGAGGGAAGGGGGGGGGTGACGGAAGCGAAGTCAATACACAAATCGGGTGTGGGCGAAGTCATGTTCATTTGTTGTTTAATCTTTTACAGCTCTGTGGTTACTATGTGTACCATCTGCTTTAACGCAGAACAAAGCTATACTGTGGCCACAAAATGCATTTGTGTGTCTCATACGAGTCTCAGAACAAACAGTGGTTATCTCCCTGCACAGCATTAACCAGCTGGTCTTTGTAATGGACACGCAATGTGTATTCTGTGAGGTAGGAAATCAACTTTTAAATATGATTCAGGTGGACTTCGTGCTTCGTTAATGTAAAATAGTCCGTTCTAATAATGAAGATCCTGCGCTACTTTGCTCCATAATCACAAAGCAGTTCACCTCCCTTCATTCTTCACTTCCCGACGCTCCCCCCCCCCACCAACCTACTGTTTACCAGGAGGAGCAGGCCCTGTCTGGAAACATCAGTTTCCTCCTCATAAAAATGCAGTTTCTCCCCATACTTCAAACGTTTAATCAGTGTTTGGTCAGGCTTTTAATGAATCACCACATGCACTCAACTACGATGAAAAATCACAATTTTTATGGTTTCGTTGTGGGTGGATTTTACGGATGGTAATTTTACAATATTTCATCAACTGTTTTGGTTCTGTAATGCTCAGTAAAATACAGTATTATGTAAGGTCGAATTATGTATGGTAATACGACTGATTGATTTTTATGCCACTTAACGACGCTGCTTCAACTGCAGGCGTTATATAACGTCGAATGATATAGAAAAACGATGATTAGCGATGGGTGAGTACGAATTAAACTGTTACAACCCTACACCGCCCTAGATTAAATTGTTTAAATTTCTTAAAATGGCTTAAGGGGCACAGTCACACACACAGTTCTGTAATTACTGTTTTATAAATTATTTTTCTGTCTATAAAGATATGAATCTCGATGTATCAGCACAGTGGAAGACTGAGGACCAACTGACCGGATAAGGGAAGTAATTTCTGTTTCCGTCGTCCGGCCCAGACCGGCTCCAGGGTCCGCCCGAAGTCCTTCATCCAGAAACCCTTATCGGTGTTGAAATAGCCAGAACATAAAGCTTACCACTCGTCTCTGTTGAGGCTAAGAACACATGGAGCTTTACCTCCTCCCCTCATATTCGCCATCATGACGAGTACAACTTCGCTCCACTTTTACGTAAGCAACATCGAACGTTTAGTTCGAAACGTGCAGCGTTACGCGGTCAAGGGCACGCCGGGCAACCACGGCAACTTCTCTGTCTTTGCTGTATAGCAAGGAAACATCCTTTGTAGGCGTTCTTGCTTCTCGTTTACAGAACTTCAGATCCAATTTTATCGGATTTTTTGGACAGCTCATCTTCCAGAGACGTGCCATAGATAGACCTGTTGAACCCCCGGCTTCTCACCATGAAGGTTTGGGTTCAATCCCGTTCAGCGATATGGGATTCGTGATATACGAAGTGGCACTGGGCCAGATTTTCTGGGTTTCTTCGGTTGTCCGCCAATGCCCCATACTAACCTATGACCGCTCTCTGAGATGTGTGAGGGCCCTGACCGGGAAACACTATTAGGCTTGTCGAATCGTTGGTCTTACCTAATATTAGGCATGTTACGGTCTAAAGCAATGTATTTTTTAAATGCCTTCTTTAAAAGAATCTGTAAATAAACCCATAGATGTACTGTACGTTTCTGTTAGTGTAAGACGAAACTGAGCCCCTGAAAACGTGTGCTCGAATCCGAAGAAGTGAAAACACGTAATTCAGAAGCAGTTTATGCATTTCCAAACAGGAGTGAACACACAAATGTACTATAGGCCTACAGAATTTCATCGAAGGAAAATATCTAAAGCTGAAACTGCACAATCTCATACAGGACAGCCCAGCAAATAAGAAAGGAGAAGCAAGTGTGAGAGTAATTATCTGTGCAGAATGACAGTGCTATAAAAGACGTTAACAAGTAATAAACAATGTGCTTATTGATGACGTAGCTGTCGTGTTGAAACAATGAATGGCCTTTTTATGTGCCGTTACTTTTCAACAGACGACCGATCGAGAAGGTCATTTAAGTAAAATAGCTAGTCTTAGGTCAGAGATTGAAACTCAAGACTTCCTGGATACGAAGCAAGGGTTATAATCAGTCAATTAGGACGTTCGGTAAAACAATATTCAACATAAAAAACATATTAATATACAACAATCATATAATTATTGAAGTCCTTAACTCATTGGATGGTATTTAAGTGCCGGAGCAAGATTTGTCTGTTCGTCACCCGAAACAACATAGAACAACAGAATACCCTAGCAATATTCAGAATGACGTACGCGTTGCTAGGGCCTAGCAGTATATCGCGTGACCGGATACCAAAAAGTAAAACAAATGATGGAAAATGCATTAGGTGATTGTTCGCGTTTCGATAAATGTTTGAAGCCTGAGCTGGCCTCCAGCAACAGTGTCGCACCATCGGAGTTTGAAGCGACTGGTATTGCCTGCCGTCCGATTCACGGGACAAGACTACTTGCTATACCGAGGCCGCGGAAAGAAGTCCATGGCTCGAAACCTTCAGCATGTCATTTGAGCTTTCCCCCTCCAGCCTACTTCTCTGTATTCCCCTCCAGTTATAGGGCCAGTCCCTTCACATGAATGTTGGCAGTGACAGTCACGTCAAAAACTTCGTTAGCGACAGGGACTTCGGATTAGTTTATGTGTCAAGGGGAATACTAGCGTAAGCAGGAAGAATGGAACACCGCAGTCCCCACCAACTGCCGGACTTTTTTTCGTGGCCTTAGTATATACAGTATATTTCATAAATGTCGCATGACAAGCCGGCTGTTCACCTCGTTCGGGTCAGCCAGGCACGACTGCATTATTTTCAGCATTAATTTTGAATGGGAACAGGGCAGTGAGCTTAATCCGTCAAGGTACAAGAAGGTATTCCGGATAATGCAAAATAAAAGGACAGATATGCAGTAATGTAAGGGGCAGGTTGCGAAATAGAGCTCTCAATCCTTATCTTCACGAGTACACCCTTCTATTATAGCTGAGGCTCTCAAAACTGAGTCATGATAGTATAATCAGTGTTCCGTCAGTACAACAACTAATGTTACGTCACAACCTTAAATTTGGTTTCTTTGCCGGGATAACATAGTCGGTGTAGCGACTGGCTACGGGCTGGACGACCAAGGAGTCTGAGTTTGAGTCCGGGTAGGGTCAAGAATTTTCTCTTTTACACGTCCAAACCGGCTCCGAGGTCCTCAAAACCTATCCAATGGGTACCGGGGGCTCTTTCCTCGGGGGTAAAGCGACCGGGGCATGAAGCTGACTACTCACCTCAAACTACTGCCGAGGTCAAGAAAATGTGGATCTGTACATCCACTCGCCCATACGCCTTCATGGCGTAGTGCTTAATTAGTTAATCATAGGGACAACTTTTACCTTTTTTACGTTTTGTTTCTTTGGTGTAGTGACTGTCGGGAATGGTCACTGTGGTTTGGTCGACTTTGGATTCGAATAACAATTTACAGCTGGACGGCTTTCATGATTTTCTTAAGTATATCCAGTACAGTATTGGACTTTCCTTGCAGGTGGGTGATGCATCGGACCTGCAGGTGCTGGCAAGGCTGTCGGATTGCAACGTGTACACTGCTCTGAACGCCCGGAGCCAGTTCCGCGCGCCTACAGAATTTGGCCTGTGCCTGGCAGGCGGGCGAGAAGCTCTGCGCTGCTTGGCCTGCGAGTCGGAGCGCGCCAGAACCTGCTGGCTCACCGCAATGAGGCTCGCCAAGGTGAGTCATACCTTCTGACTACTGAGTATTGGGATAGGCGGTCGTTGTAGACTGTCGCTTGTGGACGAACGTACAGATATACGTATATACGTACTAGGAGACGGAAGTATGTACAGTGTTGTTAGTACGCATACGAATGGACGCATGAATTAACGAACAGATGAAAGCAGATTGGCGTTTGCGGATATACAGAAGGTAAACCAATTAACCGAGGAAGGGAGGAAGGAATGTTATAGGCCGCGCCATAGCTCAAGCGGTTAGTCGCTGGCTTCCCACCGCGGCGGCCCGGGTTCGATCCCAGAGTCTGGTCAAGTGGGATTTGTGGTGGACAAAGTGGCGCGGGTGCGAGTTTTCTCCGAGTACTTCGGTTTCCCCTGCCAGTCTTCATTCCACCAAATTCTCCATCATCATAATCACCCGAGGCAGGCTACACTAGGACAGTCAGTGACCGTTGTGCCGAGTGGACCCAGTTGCACTCCACCCCCCACTTAGCGAATTAAAAAAAAAAAGGAATGCTATTAATATGAGCATACAGATAGGTGGTTCTGTAAACGGACAGATAAAGTGGAATGTTGATTGTGGATATGCCGATAGATGGATGAGAAGGACTCATATTGCTTGTGTGGTAGGGGGGAATGTACAGGAAGTCGGAAAAGACAGACCATCGTGTGGATGCATGTTCCGGAGTACTCGCCGACGGAAGAATATTCGAATACTGATACAAAGAACAAGTTTGCCTCGCGATAAATCCCAAGAATTTAGTTGTGTTAACTATCCGAGCAATAAGGTACATATTAGCGCGCCCCAATGCACAATAACGAACTTAGAGCAGCTCATGAAGGTTTATCGTCACAGAAACTCGTACGTCCCGTACCGGTGATCTACACTGAGGCAAACATTAACTTATTTTGTTACTAAAATTACCTCCTTTGTCATTGATTTTGCCCATGGCAAACAAAGGAGCGGTGACTGCACCCGCCCACCGATAATCTCTCAGGTTTGCATAACATGTGATAAGAGCGAGCGTCAGATGTTCTGCCCCAAGCACAACAAACACGATAATGGAGAGTACTTTTCTAGCAACGTTTCCTTGAACTTGGATACAGCCCTGCCCCTTAAATATGTTTCCCGCAGAGTGCAGCTATGGGTTTCTTTTGAATCTCGCAATAAACAGCGATTATCTCCGAAAGAGCATTACTTAATTGAACGTTGTAATGGAAATGCAGTATGTTTTCTGTGAGGTAGAAACTACGTTTTGCATGATGTTCAGATGAGCCTCAAACTTCAAATGATTCAGAGTTTGTCCCCTCAACGCTCCCCCTCCCCCCACCATCATATCTGAAACACTCTCTTTATTTATTGACCTTAGCCATAGCGTTACCATTAACGTTATTACTTCTAAATAATATATGAACAGTTCGTACCCCACAGAAAACATGTCATATCTCAGCTACAAAGATCAAGGGATATTGCTGTTTAGGCAAGTAATCTCTGTTTACTGTGAGAACTATTTGAAACATATGCTGTGGGCAGAATGTAGACTTTCAGTATGTTAAGGTCGTGGTATGTTAATAACCACTGGACTTTAAACGGTTAAGCCGATAAATGTTAATAACGTTAAAGTCAAATTTGGGCTGCCTGAAGGAAGAAGGGGCAAGCCTCTGATTGAAAGTTTTATACTGAGTGTTGATGTTATACACACCTCATTGGGCTTGTTATTCATTTATTGCAGATAACAGCCTTTTATTGTAACGCTATAGACTGGACACTGCCTAGTTAAAATTATTTTTCCATGTATTTCATTACACTGAAAAATGTTTCAAGTGAAGTCATGTTATTTTAATGAGTTCTTTATATTATGTTATGTAGCAATTGTTCTGTGCTGAAACGTTCTGAGATAGAACTGTAAAGTTTTATGATATTAAAAATATTTACGATTATGTTGAACTGGTGTGAATGAAATTTTAAATTCCCGAAAACAACTGGCAGTGCCAGATATCATCAAAAATAGCTCAGTATTTTGAAAGATGAAACATATGGACCGACAGACAAGTGATATCCCATTTATGTGTTCATTATTTACTTTTGGCGCTTGAACAGTCTCTGCTACTAAGTCGAGTTCATTTTCCTTGGCAACAGACTATACGCTGAGCTGTGAGATTTTATAGCTAACCAGGAAAGCTCTGAATGTTTATAATAAAGTGAACACGTGTCGCACCATATGGTATTCCAAACCAGACCTAGCTGCAGTCATGTGTGACTTCCGATGATTATCCCTCTAACTGTTAGAAATACGGTTGGCATTCATTTATTACCCCAGACTTTCAATTAATTGGGCTTCCCCAGTTGTTCAGTACACTTCATCGATTCCTGGGTTATTCAGCCCTCTAGAACACAGTGGAAATGTCACCTATTTTAACATTAAGAAATTTTGCGTTTTTCCCACACTTATGTATGAGTGTTATAACAGCCATTATCTCCCTAAATAACGTTACTTAGTTGTTGTCTCTGCTATGAAGACATAGTGCTTTTACTGTGCAGTAGGAACTCAATGTTCGCATATTATTTAGAATAAATTAATGTTTCAGTATGGTAAGCAGCTTCGGGAGAACTACCGAGCCTTCAAGAACAAGCAACAGATGGACAGCATCACATGTTCTGTACCTAGTGTAAGTGTTACATCATAACAGCACCCAGGTCTTATTCACTATACATTAACGAAATAAGTTGAAAGAAATGTATTTGGTAAGATCAGTAGGCTATTTAACATAATATAGAGAGTAATTAATCTTCTAAAGAGCACATACAAGGAAACATTCTAACCTAAAGCACACTAACAGAGCAACTTTAATTTTTATGAGATGACAGCTTCAGTGCCATGAATATCTCTAGAGGAGCAGAGCGGTTAGGTTAGGTTCAAACACTTATAAACCATAAAAGTACATGCAAGATGAATGTGCGTCTGGCTAGTTTTAGCGGTAGTGGCTTTGTGAAGAATTTCTGGGGAACAGGAGGCTAAAACCGAAAACCAAGTGGGCCCATTATGTGGGAGTATATAAAATTGATATAGAGCTTTCCATACTGAATTTTGAATAAAAGGATTAACCCCTTCCCTTCTAGCTAGTATTCATTCATTCATGAGTAATCTGTCAGATGACAGGTCCACAGCCTCTTCCAAAACAGTTTCTCCACTTAATGTGATCTTCTGTTTTTGGAAAGAGACTATCCAGGAATAGTGATAATGTGGTAGTTTTTCCATTCGCTTTCCACATCGCAGTACAACAGCCGTTCAAACCACTCTGGTCACGCCTGTTGCTATACGAACTTGAACCATCTCGAGCATCATTTTCTCTGTGCTTCAAGTCGCCGCTGATGACGCTGCTTCCGGCATCAGTTTTCGGTCTCTCTCTTCGTCTGATGCCTACCCTTTGACCTGTCCAGCAAGGGAGGCCATGCCAGTAGCTACGCTACCGCTGGTATAGCTCTCAGGGCATACTCAAACACCCTCACCACGATAAGGTGGAGACACCAACGAGGGGTAGCTAGTATTATGGTAATACTAATTCGTGGGCTCTTTATTGGTTGATTTTTGTTTCCTTATTAGCCAGGAATGATGGGTGTCAGCAGATGGATTATCATATGGTGCCACTTGCGGAAGAAGTAAGATTAAGAATACTATGCTACCATAAACTTTGGCCCTGCAAAAGCAATGGAAAGGGCAGAGAAAATGAACTGGGGGGTGGGGCTGGGGCTAGGGTGGCAAATAGAAACTCCAGCATCTGTCACATAAAAAGGGCCATTAATAGGGGTTGCTCTAACTTTTAGAAATTCCCGGCATTTGGGTCTGGTCTAGCACAAAAAAATCTCAGCAGTTGAAAACCTAAAATGATTACTCCTTTAATAAGTTGTGGTCTAGTCAGTTCCTGTCTGTGCTACAGTTGCAACATTGAAATGACCTTTCCAAGAAGACGTGTTTTTACAATGAAATGCAGCTGTCAGTAATCACACAGCACACCATATGCTGGTTCCAGGATGCTTAGTGTGAATTATATATTTACTGAGATGTAACAACACAGTCAGAGCCTATTTTGAGTACATGTCTTGATATCTGTTTCTTCCACTGAATGGAGCTAGTGGCCAGCCTCAAGGCCTGACACAAAGCAGAGTTATACATTCTTCATGTTCAAAACAGCTGTACTGGTATCAAATATATAATAGCATACATTATTTACATATGTTTATATGTGCACATTAAAAATAACAGACTGAAAAGCACTGCTGTATTTTCCAATTGGATGGATGTATAACTGGATATATCATATATCTGTATGTATATGTAGAAAAGGTTGATGTATGCAGTTTTGGTTTAATATAAAATAGCAAGTACGATGTAGCTATAGCACAAACAAAGTGGTAACAGTAACAGCAGTGAAAGCTGCACCATAGCTCAAGCAGTTAGTCGCTGGCTTCCCACCGTGGCGGCCCAGGTTCAATCCCGGGTCTGGTCGAGTGGGATTTGTGGTGGACAAAATGGCGCTGGGGCAGGTTTTCTCCGAGTACTTCGGTTTCCCCCCGCCAATCTTCAGTCAGCCAATTGCTCCACAATCACCCTCACCTATCAACTGGAGCTGGTACAATAGGCCAGAAGTGGCACAGTACAAGGGACTTAGTCCAACCTCACTAGCAATAAAAAAAATAAAGAAACAAATCAAAGAATATACTCACATTAGCACCAATTATGTATAATGCAGGAAAGTGTGCGGTCCCGTGTTGCAATGGACTTCACAGGAAGTGTTGGTCGTATTGTGGAAGACCCTCAGGAAGCAAAAGCAATTGCTGTGGCAGAGGGCTACTCATGGAAGAGGCGGTGGCGGCCATCAACGCGAGGCCCCAGTTTGCTGAGGGTGTCAGCGGGAGGTCTGAAGGCTGGGATACATATCACGCAACCGTGGTTCCACAGTGGCATGACACGGGATCAGGCAACACAGCTTATCAGCCGACGTGGCTCTGTGGATGGGTCAGTACCTGAAATATTTCAAATTGCCTAGCTGATCAACCAACCAACCAACTAGCTACATGAAACAGGGGTCCTTCTTGAGAAGCTAATAGTTGCTCAGCTAGAAAGTAACTTTACCTCAGAGTTACGGAAATAAGAAGAATTACATAAGAAGAGCTTCATACTTTGTACTCTTCTCCTATAATTATTCTTATTGTTAGGATAGGTCAGTCAAAGGGGTTACAAAGGGTTGGATACATAACTCAGATTGGAAAATTTTGAAATACATGCATTGTTCAAGTGCAGAATCACATTGAAAAGGAACGTCTCAAAAGACCGAGAAATTTTATATTAAAAATCTGTAAATTAAAAACTGAAAATACAGATTTATGATATATATAAGTCGTAAGCAGGAAATAAAAAATTCATGTGTTATTTTGGTGCCTAGTCATGTTTTAAAGCAGCCACTTTGAAGATTCAAATCAGGGTGATCATATGGAGGAGTATGAGATGGGTCAGACATGTAGTGTGCATAGGGGAGATAAGAAGTGCATACAAAATGTCTAAAAGGAAGAGACTGCTCCGGAAAGTCATCGGCATAGTATTGTAGGATAACATTCAAATGAAAATCTATATTTTCAAGAGATTTTGTATGCATGTGTGTGTATGTGGGAGGACTAAGTTCACATCACCTAGGCAGAGTCCAATGTCAGAAATTTCTGAGCACCATAATTAAATTCTGGGTTCTCTAAAAGCTGGGAATTTCTTGACAAGCTGGCTGGTTATTGAATTCTCAAGGAGGACTTGCAGTTAGTTATGTATGTTACAGAAATAGATTGTGACAAGGAAGATTTAGAGAGTTTGTTAGCGTAACTGTAAATGCTCTTTGTTTTGTTCAGAGTAATGTTTTATGAAGAACTTCTGCAATATTCATTAACAGCTGAATTTCTCACTGCATGAACAGTATGGTTGCCATGGTTTCATTGTCACTTTCTTTTGTTCTGCAGTGTGTTCCTCGTGAGGGAGAGCCGCAGCAGTCCTGGGTCCTTTGTTCTGACTTTTAAGTGCAGTGGGAAAGTCTTGCATTCACAGATACAGCCTGTAAGTATAGGTTTAGTCACTCTCACAGCACACTGATCAACTTCCTCTGTCCATGGAGCAGGCTCTTATTTATCAGCTGATCAAGAATTTTTCTGCTTTTATGTAACTCAAAGATTCAGTAACTTCTGTCTCTCACCACAAATGTAATAGAGAGTACCCAAATAAATTATGATACTCACTTCATACTTAGACATGGACATATTACCACATCCCGAAGACAAAACTCACCAGCATGGATTGGAAATGTGTTGTTATTCATGTTCCAGATGTTTAAAATTATGAGGTTCTCTATCAGACTGATAGCTATAATGTTTTGAGATCACAAGGGCATTTTTCTTGTAGACATGATCAGTGCAACAATATACTGTGCAACATTGACACATTTATGCACAGGCATTGAATTAAAATGTTCCATATTTCTTTGGGAAGGTGTTCTTCTTCTGTATGACAATTACAGCATCCTGCATATAGCCCTGGTATAGCACCTAGCGAGTGCCATCTTTTTCCAAAGCTGAATGAATATCTCAATGAAGACAGTGTGAAAACAAGATTAAAATGATGGCTGAGTGAAAAGGACCTACAGCGAATAGACTCACTCTCTAATGTGATAAATATCTCAGTTTGCAGAGACTATATCTGAAATTAGTGGTATGATAGAAGAATTACCATACATTTGCATGTCAGGGATTTTAATAAGAAATCTTCAAGTATATTCTTTGTAAACTTACTCTCTGATCAACTCTCATACCTCTAGACCAGGTTTCCAACAGAGAACTTTCTTGCATGTGTAATTTCAATAATCTCTTCAACTTTTCTCTTTTTAAGGGGGTGAGTTGAGCCAAGATAATGCTGGTTACTTGACTGGATTGGAACTCTTTGCATATGTTCTGTGGCAGTGAAAATTAATATCGTGTCGTATAGGTTATAAGTAGTCTATTAAGTAGGTATCTTATATTTAGGGTTGCTTTCTCATAGAAGTTCTGTAAGGTGTGAGGTGATCTTGATGGTGAAAATTTATTTTGTGGTCTTACAGGTGTTATGACACCTTACTTTTTAAAGATGCTTCTCATGGAAATTGTCACTGTAGTGAAGAATCACATTATGATCATCTTTGTTGTAACACTGTGTAGTCTCGAGGTGTACACTTTTATTTTTAAATTTTCCTCTTTCTGAAGGCTACACATATAAGATTCGAGGTTTTCACAACAGCAGAATACTTTGGGTTAGACACCTTCCAGTCTGGTAGTTTGCTACTTTTGTATTTATAGTTGCCACTCTGTAGAAGTTACATATACGTAGGTCGTACCGAAAGTCATGAGTAACTTTTTTTGCATGCAACCTGGGAACAGCAGACGAAAGAGAGTGGTAGGTGGAACCAGCTGTTGTGTTAACCTTGAGTGTCTTGTGATGTCAATAGCTTGCATCACATGACCAGTATCACTCCTAACAAAATGGCCGACAGTGATATGTCGTTTCACCAGTGTGCTGTCATAGAATTTCTTGTGAAAGAGGAAATCCGTGCTGCAGAAATTCACCAGAGACTTCAGCGTGCTTATGGAAGTGTGTGCACGGGTGGGAGTAGTGTTTGAAGATNCTGGTTTGACCATTTCGAGCCTGAAACGAAACGGCAGAGTATGGAATGGCACCATTTGCATTCTCCATCAAAAAAGAAGCAAGACAGTGCCATCAGCTGCAAAGGTGATGGGCACAGTCTTCTGGGATGCAGAGGGGTTTATTCTGGCCGAATTCCTGGAACCTGGGCAAACCATCAATGCTGCTCATTATGTCCAGATGCTGCACAAGTTCCGTCATGCATTGCGTGATAAATGTCCGGGATGAAACATCATCATCCTGCATGACAGCGCTTGGCCCCACACCGCTCGCCTCACATTGGAAATAATTGCAAGGATGGGGTGGGACATTCTTCCATACCCCTCCTATAGCCCTGATCTGGCATCCTCCAACTACCATCTTTTCGGATTTGTGAAGGATCAGCTGCATGGACAACGTTTTGAGACAAGGGAGGCAATTCAGAAATCAGTGCGTCAGTGTCTTAGGATGGCTGGAACGGAATTTTACAGAAGGGGAATTTTCAAACTCCCAGAATGCTGGGAGAAATGTGTGCAAAGAAGTGGTGATTATGTGGAAAAATAAGAAAGGTCTGTAGATTGAGGTGGTGTATTTGACAATAAGAAAGCATGTTACTTTACAAAAAATTGTTGCTCATGACTTTCAGTACGACCCTCATATAATATTTGTTTTTTATACCTCCAGTTTTAATACATGAAAAGGGACAAGAATGACGTTTTGTGATATCATGTGTCTGTACAGGTATTGGACCCACTGCGAGATTCAGTGTGTTATTCTCTGGACAGTGGCGTGACCAAATTCTATGACCTCCTTCAGCTGGTTGAGTTCTACCAACTGAATGCCGGATGTCTGCCAACGCGACTCACACACTATGTTGTGCAGAATCCCACCGGTCCTTTGTATGCAGAGAAGCAGATTATACCAGCAAGTTTCTGATGCTGTCAATAGTGCTTTGTTTGCAGAGAAGCAGATTATACCGGCATGTTTCTGATACTGTCAGTAGTGCTTTGTATGCAGAGAAGCAGATTATACTGACATGTTTCTGATACTGTCAGTAGTGCTTTAAAATTCGCTGCAAGACAATCAAGATGGCTTGATGACTAACATGCCTCTTTTATTATACTCAGACAGTATTAAAACTTTCATACAGGGTCAGTATACATATTCATCTTTTTATTTTCATAATAAGAACAAAGAGTTTATAAGGCTGAGGTTAACGTGCATAACGAATCTCATAGTTACTCTGTGACCTGACATTTTCCAATGTCATATCAACATTCACTTGGTGTGTTTTATATGGTCATGCATTTTATTTATGTCTGTGGGACTCCTTATAGTTCAGTAATTCCTTAGATAAGATTTATTTAGAGCAGCGGTTCTCAACCTGATGTTCTCATTGTAAGCATATCCTGGTGATAGCACTTTATTAAACAGTTGGTATACTTGCCTAAATGCTGGAAAGTTCTTGGTTTGTAGAGTGTGGCATATTAAATTATGGTTTGTAACAAAATTTGTATGGCCAGAATTTTCAGACCTTGTGATATGAGAATTGTTAATATATACAGTAGAACCCAGATTAATTTGACCTTTGGTTATGCAACATTCCATGTTATCCAACTTGACTTGAGCACCTGCATAAAAATTGTCGTGATGGGAGAAATTGTGGTGCAGTACATTTTCTCCCTTGCCCTGCTGACACAATGTTAGCATGTCAGTATTATTTTCATGCTCTTGTTTCATGATACAGTTGTGAATCAAGTTCTGAAGATATATTTCGTCTTGTTTTTAATTTTAATTTTATTATTCAGCATTTTCGGTTATCCAGCCACCCTTCAGTTCAGTTTAGGTCAGATTATCGAGGTTTTATTGTGTGTTTACATTCATATATGTGTATCTTTCTTGGATCCTATATTTTTATCATTATGAAGATCATTATATACGAAAATATAAACAGAAGGATACACAGTAAAATCTACAGAGTTCAGATTTTTTTTTAAATTTATGGAGTTCTTCCCACGGAAGTTAAAGGCTGTATAAATGCATTGTATTGATCTCACTTTCCTTTTTATAGACAAATTCATGAAGTTAAGTTTTACTGTATTTTCTGGATGCTGGCAGTCAAGTAATGAGAATTAGAAGTTGAATTTTAGGAATTTAAGAGTTTGAGACAGATTGGTTAATTATTGTGAATATATAAATTAATTTGCACGAAGGAAGACCAATACATTGATATTAATATAAATACTGTTCATATATACAAAACAATTGTTTTATTGAAAGACCACATTGATATTAATAAGAAGTATTGGATCCGTTATTTCAAAACGACACATTATAATTATAAATAGAACCATATACATCTTCTGCAACTGTCATTCTATTCACACCCTTCAGCCCAGCAGTATTTTCTCCACGTTTTAATGTTCACAGCCAAAAGACTTGGACCATAACATACATAGGTCTTAATGTTTCAGGTAATGGTTACAAAAATATGACTCTTATTTTTCACATAGCCCATTGTCTTGAATTTTTTCAAATGCATCATTTTGAAAACTGGATCTGTTTGTATCATACTTTTCATAAGAGAAATTATGAGACAGATTTCGATTGAAATATAGGAGAAGATGGAAACTGATATAAGTAATCAGAAGGAATTAAGTTAAAAATGGAATAGATCAGCAATTTGATTGTGCCAACATGGGTTTCTCTTCCCTTGCCAGTATCAAGACTTCTAATGATCACGTCCACAAAACTTTATGTATACAGTGTGGGATAAAGTCATAGCTCAGGACAGACATTGGTTCTTGTTTTGGTATGTAATCTTATGCATAGCTGAAAAATGTTATTTTCTGGGATATAATGCTATTTAATATTCATATTCATAATCCAGACTACACAGCATTACATCCATGAAATCCAACATTTTATTTTTGGAAGTTTTGTAAGATTCGATGTTTCACTCTCGTGGTAAAGAAATTATAATAGTTTTTTCTGTCATGGCATGTTTGATAAGTAGAAATCTCATATGGAATTAGAGAAGTTGTGAAATGTCTGTCAGTTAATCAACATAAAATCTTCAAATCACACCTATTCACGACTGGTTTTGAAAGTATAATTGGTATGTCTGTCTTGAATTCCAGGGAAAAGAGACTGAATGGAAATGACTCAAAATGACATAGCAAAGAAAACATAAACTTCTAATATAGAGAACATTTAAGTTTTTAGTTTTTTTGTACTATGATTTTTAATTTATGGAATTCATTAATTTAATATATGTAACAATTCATCATTAGATATTTACTTTACTGATCTTATTGATAAATGATCATAATTCATTATATTGTGAATTTCTTTCTGTTAATCATTTTACACTAGTGTAAGTGATTCTGTATTTTTAAGTTATGCAGTGAAGCAGAGAAAAGAAGAGAAATAATAGTTTTGTAAAATTTTTTTGGACTTTGCCCCCTTAAAAGCCCTCATGATGTCAATATTTTGAACACAGGTACAGATTGGATTCTGACTTCTGAGTTTTTGAAACGTAAGGTTATCTAAATAACATTTCAGTAGTCAATTCCCACTTCACAAACAACACACTGCATCTCTGTTGCAAAGTAAACCACTGAATTCTGTTTTGCAATATAATTGCTCTTTGTTGTGATAATTGTGTGAAAAGAAGTATACTGTGTGCGAAAAATGCAGAGAGCAAGGATATTAAAACCAATTAATAACGATCATTGTGCTGTAAAGAGTTAAATCTAATAGTTTCCTAATATTTTAAATTTTCTTTACCCCTGAAAGCGCATGGATGAAGTTATGGTATTCTGACAAAATTGGGTTACTCAGTTGAGATACAGTTTGTTATGACATAAAAATCAGCAGCAGTTGCTCAGAAGGTGCAAGACGTGCTACCTCTGATCATACTGAAAATAATGAAATGTCATATCTTAAAGTGATAAATAGTCTGAATAAATTCTAATAGTAAACCAGCCAGCTGACACCATAACCCAATTTGTTTTCTGCATTTCTAACACTTAATCTTTTTACATTAAAGAATGGTAATCAAGGATTGTAGCTTGAAGATGGAGTCCCGAAATTCCTCTGAAACTTTTGAACCTATTGGCATTATATCTCATCAGACCGTAATCCTCAAATGTCACAAATGATTTCATATGTCTGTGGCACATTTTCCAGTTGTGTAGGAGCTCATGAGTCATTACTAAACTGAAGAAGTATTTATGACATGGATCAAAGTATGACGTCTTCCTTATGATATTTGTTTGCCGTATTTGCCAGAATTTAGTGAACTTCTCACAAGATATAATGTGCATCCAAATTTTGAAAATTAAATTTAAAAAGATATCAGCAAGTCAGTTTAAAAAAAAAATTTAATTACTTGTAAATATGGGACACAACACACTGAATACTTAAGCAAATCATTTGTTGATTATTTGTGTGTAATTCTTTACAGAAGTTTGCTGTTACTGATTATCACACATTGCACACTACTTTTTTTTAGTTAAAGAATACATTTCATTTTAGACATCCCAATTGCAGTTTTATATTTTATATAGTCACAACACATAAAATATTAACTAGTTTCATTAAATAACATTTTCAGTTTTAGTTTCAGTTAATATACCAGTACTGAGGCCATGGTATTCAGTCTGTGGATTGACCCCCTCCACATCTTCTTTGAGCCTTTACTCTGACCCTTCCATCACACTTTCCTGTATTTTCCTCCCACCATTTAGCCACTCTGTTCAGAGTAATGTTTATAGTGATAACCTTGTGGTAACCTTTCCTGGAAACATACTGTCACCTGTAGGGGAGACTGTTAATGGTGTTTGGATTGGTGAATGGATTTATTGACCACTTATAACACAGTTCATAAGTACAAGTAATATTGCAGCACCACCACTAACCTCAACAATTCACAAATCATCACAGTACTCACTAAGCCTTTATCCAGCCTACTGTGTTTTCACCAGCTGTTCCCTGGCAACGGCTTCTAACAGTGGAGATTCTTCAGCTTAAAACTCTCAGATCCTCTCTTCACAGCCCCCTGTCCAGAACTCAATTGAACTCTCAACTGACTTTTTCCCTTGCTTATAACATCTTAGCACTGATCACATAGAAACACCCTGTTTCTATTGTTGTAGTCCAAGTGTTGCATTATCAAAAATCTGCTGCCTAGCAATGGGAACGTGTTTACCTAGCCATTGGCCAGAAATGGTCGATTTTTAGAGTCACCTTTTAGCAGTGGGTCTATACACCACAATACACTGTGGACTGGTTAGTATAGATTTGAGGAGGCTGCAGAGGGCCAGTGGTTGCCAGAGAGGCAGTAGCTTTGAGCTTCATGTCATTCTCATTGTACATGAGACTTCTTTCGTTGGCTTCAGATCTGAACTAGAACACATAATATGTGCCCAGTTTTTCAGAAAGAGAAAGTAAGCATTACATTCTGGCAATACAGTAATTTAAACAATCCACATAGATTAGAACTGTTTGAAGACAAAGAAATGAGGTTATTCATATATTCATAATTGTTCTGCAGAAGAGACGATACCGAAATACAATTATATGTAACAAATTATAGGTTCTGTAGTATTCCTTAAGAGATGATAACGTGATACACAGATTGTCCAGCAACATTTTCTTTTTAGAGTCAATGTCATACGTGTAGTATACTGCTGCATAGAAGTGAGAAGAGTTTTCTTGCAGATAAGACAATCATGTTAATATTGCGAGTCTGATGGGGTTGAGAGCTGCTGTATCAGTTCTTTATAAAGAACTCGGACACTGAAGTGACTGACTGCTCCATGGTGTGAGGCCGAGTTTGTGTGACTTGTTAATATTTCATTCTGTCTGTATGGTAACAGTTTTTGTGTACAATATGTTTCGTTCTCACTGTTATTCCAGGAACATTATATGCTAAATGCTCTCACAAGCACTACACACCCATATGTGTTCCTTTATTCAAAGGACCAGCTTTGAACCTCTAACTTCATGTTTGAAAAAACACTTTTTTTTCTATAATTCTGTGTGTCAAGATGTAAGCATGTAACTCAGTAAATTGGAAGTTTATTCAGGTTATAATAAAAGCTGTGTTGTACATTATGTGTGGCATTACTTCTTTTATGAGGATCCCAGACATTTTCCTTCTTGTTCTTCAAGTGGGGTGAGATCCAGCACTTGGTACGCTGGCTACAAATGGGCATAGAGTACCAGATCTTGATGAGAAATGAGAGAATGGAGCAAAAATAGAGTGAGAAGTGGCAGAGAGAACATGACCCAGTGCCACTTTGTCAACTATAAATGCCACATAGGTTGTGGTACCCATTGGATAGGAGGCTCAGTGGACCCCAGAGCCAGTCTGGACGGCGTTGAGAAGAGAAAATTCTTGACCCTACCAGGCCTCGAACTCCAACCCCTCGGGCATCCAGTCCGTAGCCAGTTGCTATACCGACAGCTATCCCGGCTCTCCTTTGACTGAGTGGGTTCTCTAAAATGCTATATAATTTGGTTTTCTTGTTTATTTCTGCAACGGGTCCATATGAAATGAAAGTCAATTTCACACAGTATTCTTTTCAGTTTGTACAAACAGAGGAAATAAAGAAGGCAAGAAAGGAAAACAGAAGTCGGAGAAGAGACAAAAAAGAAGAGGAAGATGAAACACAAAGGAGGTGGAGAAGAAACAAGAGAAAAGAGTACAGAAATAAGATAAAGGTAGGAGCAGGGGGAAGAAGGAATGGTAGGTAGGAGGGGGAGGAGGCAAAGAAGAAAATAGAGATGATTAAGAATGCACGCAAGAAGTGAAAAAGGAGGCATAAATACAAAGAAAGGGGTCAGAATATGTAGGAGTAAGAAGGGGCAGAACAAAAAGGAAGAAGGAACAGAGAGAGAAAAGAAAGTAGCAAAGATGGGATAAAAGAAAAGAAAAAGCGGAAAAAAGTCATTAGAGAGGAGAAGAATAAGATGGAACAGGAAGAGTGGAAGCAGTAAAAACGTAGACAGGAAAGAGAATAAAAATGGAAGCAACGTCAAAAGGGAGACGAAAATTAAAGAAAAGCAGGAGAGAAATCAAGAGAAGGAGCAAAAGAAGGAATAAACAGAGGCATGAGAAAGGAGAACAAGATAAAGAGGAGGAAGCGCCACAGAAGGAAGAAGGAAGTAGGGGAAAGACAAGATGAAACAGAGGAAGTAAAGTAAGAAAGGTCAGGAAGATAAAGCCATTCCGGTGTCAGACGAATTTGAACAGACGGTGGAAGAGCCACTTCCTCATGGACAGCTCTGTAATGGCAACCTATGTTGTAGGTACGAACATGCTTGCACGATGATGTCATCGCACACCTGTAGGACCTGTTTTCGAGGCCAGCGCTACTATACGACCTACGAACATTTATTCAATGCTACTACATTTTCAGTGTAAGTTATTTTTGATTTGCTTGTTTTGTTTCACGACTTTTTATATCGGTAACTAACGTCTGTAGACCACATAATTGTTATTTACAGGTTCCTCAGGTTAGTGGAAATGCGCTTAAATGCCAAGTTATATTAATGTCAGCAGCTGTAAGAGGTACATGAACTCTGGAATCCAGAATATTATAATAGAAAATAATTGCTTTTTAACGCTATTGATGGATCTGGAATATATATATATATATATATTTTTTTTTCCATTGGCACTACAGCCCCAGTGGGCCTAGGCCTACCTCCATGAANGGAATATTAACAATACAAATTCTGGTATAGAAACGTCATTCCCCAAAACATATACACGATACAAATTTAGAATGAAGGATAGTGGCTATGCTCAGGAAGCTTAACCGGGGCTTGACTTCCTAGAGGCAAGGATTTTTCTCTCCGCTATTAAGTACAGGTTGGGGTAAAGCGGTCAGGGCGTGGAGCTGTACCTCTGTTTCCCGAGACATCTTCATGACGTGGTGAAGGGCTGAGATAAACCTTTATCATTACTCATGACCAGGGCCCGGATTTTGATGACACGTCATCTTCTTTTCCTTGTATCCTATGCGACGCTCTAAAATATATAAATCTCGGATATGAGCTGCTGGTTACAGAGATGTAAATTTTACAGGTAATTTTTTGACATTTTTAGGTTTAAGATCTTTTTTTTTTCATTTTTGGGGTAATTTTTTTTTAAATTTGTGGACTTTTAAGGGTATTTCTTGTCATTTTTCGCCATTTTAGGGAACTTTTCTTCATATGTTTTCTGAAATGTGAATAATATGGAAGCGAAGTGTTCTTGCTCTTTCTCCTTTAGGTCATTTTCTGAAATTTTCGGTCATTTTATAGGTCATTTTTTTAAATATTTTCAGGTCATAAATATCCGGGCCCTGCATATTACATTTTTGGGTCATATTTTAGGTAATTTTTCTGGATTTTTCGGTCATTTTATGTCTTTTTTAAATATTTTCGGGTCATAAATATCCGGGCCCTGCATATTACATTTTTGGGTCATATTTTAGGTCATTTTTCTGACTTTTTCGGTCTTTTTCTAAATATTTTCAGGTCATAAATATCCGTTCCTTGCTCATGACGCATTGCTTTCCTCAAAATCACTACAGAGACAGAGATACGCTGATATCATTATACCGTAACCTAGCTTTCTCCATACATAACAGGTGGCAACTAAAGCTGCCCCTGTGCTTAATTAAGCACCGCGGCATGAAGACATATAGGAGAATGGAGGTAGTAAAAGCAGTTGTTAATGCTGTTTAGAGAAATAATCACGATTTTCGAGAAACATGCGAAATCCATTAATTCACTCTGTGAACAAAATGCAGAGATTTATATTGCTAAACATGTCGCAAATACCGTAATCACAGTGTTTTAATTGTTACAATTGACCCTGCTTCTTTGATGTCCCTGTAACAGGCCGTGAAGACCCATAGGGGTCTAGACAATCGGCTCACAGATGGCGGTAAGTTTGTCAGCTTTACGCGCCGGCCGCCTTTTAACCACAGGAAGATTCCTGGTACTCATTTCTGTTAGAGGCTGAGTCGACCCCAGAGCCATAGTGTGGCTGGAAGGATTAGATCAATTGATAAATCCAATGACCTCATCGGGAATCGAACCCGCGACATTCTGGCTTGTAGCATAGTGCCTAAACCAACTACGCTACCGCGTGCCCCTTTGATTATTCGCACCATAGATAAATAAATAACTTAATGTGGTAGAGTTCATCTCGAGAAGTTACTAGTTGCTGATCTAGTCAAGATATTCCCAACGTTTTACGGAACCCGAGGGTTCACTGTCGTGTTCACAAGGGCGCTTCACTTTTCCGTAGCCCGAGCCTATTCTGATCCAGCGGAAAAAAAACTTCACAATCTCCAGTCCCACCTTCAGGTTGTCTGGTGAAAGCGTATGCATTTCCGATTCATCCAAAGAGTGCTATATAGAATGCCCGTTAAGCACCATTTATATGTTCTGTCTGTTACTGGACGTTTGCTGATAACGGCTCCAACAGTGACTATTCCCCCACCTCCAGCTCAAGTCCTCCCTTCACAGACTTCCGTATAGTAATTATGATCATATGCGTTGACTCTATCAGACGGACGAGTGGGCACTGCCTGGGAACCTTATTCCCCTCCCCTCAAAATTTAGTGTCTCTCACTATCTCACAATTTTCTTTCTTCTCTCTCTCTCTGACTGGGTCTAACCATGTCCCATGTCTCGGCACGCACCTGATAGAAAGCACAGCTCTTATATTGTTGCGTTCAACTGTTGCATTATTAAGAATCTGCTACCTAGCAACGGGAATGTGTTTACAGAGCCGTTGACCAGAAACGGCGATGGTATATCCGCCCACCTCGCGGTCGTTGCATAGCAACGGCTCTACACGCCACAGTATATTTTCTTAATTCATGCGTAGGATATGCTCTGCAATTAAAATTGTATACAGTACTTTATTATCGCTATGTGTTTCGGTCTATTGACATTGTACATTTATTGTTAGCTCAACAGATGTTAGCTATACACTGGCCAAGTTGAGGTTCTAGATTTTAAATACAAATTATTTTATCAAGCAGACGGACTGTATTATCTAAGATTTAACAAGATGCTTACAAGACACACAACAACAATGTGGGATTTGAGGTTTTTACGGCAGAGAAACTTCAGATTATGGTCGTATGGATTATTATATCGTGTAATCTCGTAAACTCTAAAACATCTTTGAGGGTACATGATACATTCAGTAGGCAACCTTGCGGAATAAAAGTCCTGTGTGTGTGCAAAAAGACGTATAGTATATCAATTTCGGATTCCTGCGTACTTTAAAAATAAAACCTGGCAATTTTCTACCAATGATATAACAATCTACGTCACCATCTGATGATAACGATCCCTCAAAGATATTTTGGACTACCAACGTAGAAGAAGTTGAAGCAATGTGTAGCTATAAACTGTTCGTAACCTCCCACGAGACAATATGGTGTCATAACCAAGAAGATCTCAATACTCGTATGAAGATTACAGGCTTCGGCCATGAAATCGTGGAAACGGAAGTCACGGGTGAACCTTGTCAGCGTCTGCAGTAGAGGAACCTGCTTATTTGGGTGGCCGCACAGCGGAACCTTCCTCACATAAGCCGCTCACTCGACAGCAGTCTGGTAACCATCCTCAGAAAGAAATTCGTGCCAAACGGAGACACTAACCAACCAACTAAATTGATTGCTATCTATATGACCAGTTATCTGATTAATTATGTAACTAATTCATTAAATATATAACTACATTATTACCTAACTAATCTCTTAAATATCTGTATGCAAACTATCTATTCAACTAAACTAACTTCATGGAGCTGACTCCTTCTTGAGAAGCTGCCAAATGTGCAGCCATTTTAGAACTTCCCAGAAATTTATGGAACCCGAAGGTTCATTATCTTGTTCACAACAGCCCTTCAATTCGAGGGTCTGTGTGACGTTTCGTAGCAAGCTTATTTTTCAAGAGGAGGAACTGTTAGCCCCACGCCCAATCCCAAAACTGCAGGACCACCCTTTGTCGGCTGTCAGCGACTGTTTATTCAATGTATTCTCAGCTACCTTCCATATCTGGAGGCCATCTCCTCCATCCGCAACCTGAGGACGCGCCAT